AAAAAATCAAAGGAAAATTTAAAAAATACCTTAAGACAGGGGTGCCTGAGGGGCTCAGTCAGTTAAGCATCTGACTTCGGTCAGATTATGATCTCATGGTTCATGAGTTCGAGCCCCGCATTGGGCTCTGTGCTGACAGCTCAGAGCCTGGAGCCTGCTTTGGATTCTGTGTGTGTCTCTCTCTCTGCTCTCCCCCACTCATTCTCTGTCTCTGTCTTTCAAAAATAAATTAAAAACATTTAAAAAAAATGTTTTTAAACACCTTAAGACAAATGAAAATGGAAACACAATGGTCCACAACCTGCAGGATGCAGACAACACAGTTCTAAGAGGAAAGCTTATAGCAATGCAGGCCAATCTCAAGAAACAAGAAAAATCTCAAATAAACTTACACCTAAAAGAACTAGAAAAAGAACAAACTAATACTAATGTTGTAGAAGAAAGGAAATAAAGATCACAGAGGATATTAATGAAATACAGAGCTGGTTGTTTGAAAACATAAACAAAATCAACAAATCATTACGCAGACTTACAAGAAAAAAACAAAGAGGGCCCAAATAAATAAAATCAGAAATGAGAGAGAAGTTACAATGAACACCACAGAAATATAAAGGATTATAAGAAAAATCCTGCAATTATAGGCTAACAAATAGGAAAAACCAGAAGATATAGGTAAATTACAAACATACAATCTTCCAAGATTGAATCAAGAATAGAAAATCTGATCAAACCTATAACTAGTAATGAAGTTGAATCAGTAATCAAAAAACTCTCAATACACAAGAATCCAAGACCATGACATATCAGATAAAGGGTTAGTATCCAAAATCTATAAAGAACTTATCAAACTCAACACCCCCAAAAAAAATAATCCAGTGAAGAAATGAGCAAAAGACATGAATAGACACTTCTCCAAAGAAGACATCCAGATGACAACCAACACATGAAAAAATGTTCCACATCACTCATCATCAGGGAAATACAAATTAAAACCACACTGAGATACCACCTCACACCTGTCAAAATGGCTAACATTAACAACTCAGGCAACAACAGACACTGGCCAGGATGCGGAGAAAGAGGATCTCCTTCGCACTGCTGGTGGGAATGCAAACTGGTGCAGCCAAGTATGGAGGTTCCTCAAAAAAAAAAACCAGAACTACCCAATGACCCAGAAATTGCACTACTAGGTATGTATCCAAGGGATACAGGTGTGCTGTTTCAAAGGGACACATGCACCCCAATGTTTATAGCAGAGCTATCAACAACATCAAAGCATGGAAAGAGCCCAAATGTCCATCGATGGATGAATGGATAAAGAAAATGTTGTGTGTGTGTGTGTGTGTGTGTATATATATCTATACACACACACACACACACACACACACACACACACACACACACACACAATGGAGTATTACTCAGCAATCAAGAAGACTGAAATCTTGCCATTTGCAATTACATGGATGGAACTAGAGGATATTATGCTAAGCGAAATTACTCAGAGAAAGACAAATATATCATATGACTTCACTCATGAGGAACTTAAGGTACAAAAAAGATGAACATAAGGGAAAGGAAGCAAAAATAATATAAAAACAGGGAGGGGGACAAAACGTAAGAGACTCTTAAATATGGAGAACAAACAGAGGATTTGCTGGAGGGGTTGTGGGTGGGGGGATGGGCTAAATGGGTAAGGGGCATTAAGGAATCTACTCCTGAAATCACTGCTGCACTATATGCTAACTTGGATGTACATTAAAAAAATAAATAAATAATTTTTAAGAAGGCATCATACTCCCTGATCTCAAACTATGCTATAAAGCTATAATAATCAAAACAGTGTGATCTGGCACAAACCCAGACATACAGATCAACAGAATAGACTAGAGTCCAGGAAAAACCTTACACTTATGCAGTCAATTAATTTTCAACAAAGAAAATAAGAATATACAATGAGGAAGAGACATTCTATTCAATAATTTGGTCCTGAGAAAACTGGAGAGCTACTTGCAAAACAACGAAACTAGACCACTTTCTTACACCACACACGAAATTAAATTAAACTAAAATGGGTTAAAGACTTAAATGTGAAACCATAAAACTCTTAGAAGAAAACATAGGCAGTAAGCTCCTGGACATTGGTGTTAGCAGTATTTTTTTGGATCTGCATCCTCAGGCAAGGACACCAAGAGCAAAAATAAATGGGACTACATGAAACTAAAAAACTTTTGCACAGTGAAGGAAAACATCAACAAAATGAGAGGCAACCTACTAAATGAAAGAAGACATTTGCAACTAATAAAACAATAAAGGGTTAATATCCAAAATATATAAAGAACTGATACAACTCAATAAAAAAAAAATCCAATTAAAAAGTGGGTAGAGAACCTGAATAGACATTTCTCCAAAGACATACAGATGGCCAAGAGACACATGAAAAGATACTCGTTACTAATCTTCAGTAAATGCCAATCAAAACCACAATGAGATATCACCTCACACCTGTCAGAATGGTTAGTATCAAAAAGACCAGGAATAACAAGTGTCAGCAAAGATGCAGAGAAAAGGGAAACCTTGTGTACTGTTGGTGGGAATGCAAAATGGTGCAGCTTCAATGGGAAATAGTCTGGAGTTCCCCCAAAAAATTAAAAATAGAAATACCATACATTTCAACAATTTCACAGCTGCGAAGCAAACAAAATCACTAACTGGAAAAGATATATGCACCGCCATGTTCACTGCAACATTATTTACAATAGCCAAGATATGTAAACAACCTAAGTGTCCATTATCAAAACATGAATAAAGAATATGTGGTGGGGCACCTGGGTGGCTCAGTCAGTTAAGCGTCCAACATCGGCTCAGGTCATGATCTCACAGTTAATGGGTCCAAGCCCCCATTGGGCTCTGTGCTGACACCTCAGAGCCTGGAGCCTGTTTCAGATTCTGTGTCTCCCTCTCTCTCTGCCCCTCCCCTGCTCATGCTCTGTCTCAAAAATAAACAAACATTACAAAAAAAATTTTTAAAAAGAATATGTGGTATAAATATATACAATGGAATATTACTCAGCCATAAAAAAAGAATTCTTGCTATTTCAAAACCTGTAACAACTTTGTGGGGTGCCTGGGTGGCGCAGTCGGTTAAGCGTCCGACTTCAGCCAGGTCACGATCTTGCGGTCCGTGAGTTCGAGCCCCGCGTCAGGCTCTGGGCTGATGGCTCGGAGACTGGAGCCTGTTTCTGATTCTGTGTCTCCCTCTCTCTCTGCCACTCCCCCGTTCATGCTCTGTCTCTCTCTGTTCCAAAAATAAATAAACGTTGAAAAAAAAATTAAAAAAAAAAACAAACCTGTAACAACTTTGTATGGTGACAGATGGTAGCCAGACTTCTGATGGAGATCACTTACTAATGTATATAAATGTTGAATCACTATGTACACCTGAAACTAATATTGTATGACAACTGTACTTCAATTTTAAAAACTGAATTCATTATCAAAGAAAACTACAAACCCAAATGATTTCACTGGTGAATTCTATCAACATTCAAGGAAGGAATAACACCATTCCTATACAAATGTTTTGGTCTTTTTTCATAAGTAGAGGAAAAGAGAATACTTCTCAATCCATTTTATGAGGTCAGCAAAAGTCTAACACCAAAACCTGAAAACAAAACTACAAACAAGCCACGACACTGAAAATTTTATAACACACTTCGAAATAAATTTGAGACAACAAAAGCATATAAAAACCTAGAGTGTGACCAATGTGTTACTCATAACTATCTAGCTATCTCAATCCAAGCATGGTGTAACATCTGACAATGTATAATTCATACATTAACAAAAAAACATAGAGAAATTATGTGATCACCTCAGTAAATAGCAAAGAAAAGCATATGATACTCATCAACTTAAAACAAAAATTCTTGACAAACCAAAACTAGAAGAGAACTTTTTTTTTTAATGTTTTTTTTTTCAACGTTTATTTATTTTTGGGACAGAGAGAGACAGAGCATGAACGGGGGAGGGGCAGAGAGAGAGGGAGACACAGAATCGGAAACAGGCTCCAGGCTCTGAGCCATCAGCCCAGAGCCCGACGCGGGGCTCGAACTCACGGACCGTGAGATCGTGACCTGGTTGAAGTCGGACGCTTAACCGACTGCGCCACCCAGGCGCCCCAGAAGAGAACTTTTTAGATTCGAAGTACACTTAACCAGAAAATTAAATAGTAATAAACGATATTAAAACCGTAGAAACAGAATAATAAAGTGTAATTATACAAACTAATATGGGAAACTCCAAAATACATTTTTGAATAAACAAAAGAAGTTGTGGATATTTGTAATAGCTTGAAAACATTCACACATATATCTATGATTTTCTGTAGGAATACAGAACACATAGAAATAAGACTGAAATAAGACAAACACATAGAAATAAGACTGGTAGAAAACACATCAGTCTGATACTTTTTTTATGTTTATTTATTTATTTTTGAGAGAGACAGAGACAGAGTGTGAGCGGGGGAAGGGCAGAGATAGAGGGAGACACACAATCCGAAGCAAGCTCCAGGCTGCGAGCCGTCAGCGCAGAGCCCTACATCGCGCTTGAACCCACCAAGCTTAACCGACTGAGCCACCCAGGCACCCCATAAATTCTTAACAAACACGTACTGATTTCAGAGATTCTTGTAGTTTGCATCCACTGGAACTAAGCGTGGTCTGAACTTCTCCGAATTGGGTGTGTGTGTGTGCGCGCGCGTGTGTGTAAATACACGAGCGAATGGAGAAAGAAAAGGGGAATAGAGGGCTTCTCTCAGCTACACGAACCTACGATTCAGCCAGCTGAGGTCAATAAAGGAGAGGGACTGAGGCCACAAGATTCAAGGGAGTCCCAGGGCAAAGGAGCAAGGCACTGAAGGCGGAGACCCAAGAGGGGCGGGACGGCGTGGCCTCCGCTCCTCCCCGGACCAGGGCGGGCCCGCGACTGTGACCCACCTCTCCGGCGCTGTCCTCGTTACAGCGCCGCGGGACGGCCATGCCGGGCCGCCTGCTGCGGGGCCTGTGGCAGCGATGGCGTCGTTACAAGTACCGCTTCGTTCCTTGGATCGCGCTGAACCTAAACCACAACCCGAGGTGAGAGGGCGAGGCCGGCAGACCAGGGACGTCTTCTTTCAGCCCCACGACGCCACCAGGGCCGCTGAACTGGAGGCATGTGGGCCCTAAGTGGGCGGAACCTCCGGCGAAAAGCTCTTTAAACGGCGGTCTCTGGTGGGCGGAGCCTCAGGCGACCCTGGGGCCCGAGGTGGGCGGGCCCGTAGCGAGCAGAACCTGAGGTGGGGCGGGGCCTGAAGTGGGCGAAGCCGAGGCTGGTGGAGTCGGAGGACAGCTGGGATACCGAAGACCGTGGGGAGCCTTAGGAGGGTGGGACCTGAGGCCTACTCTCCCAGAGTACCCCGCGCTGTGAGGTCTGTGAGGCGGGCGTCCCTCACGGGCAGTGCGGCTCGTGCTCTTTAGAGGTCTTCGCTGACGGGCGTTTCTGTCCGGGCAAAAAATAGAAACTTTTGAAAAAGAGCAAAGTTTATACAGCGTGAGGGTGCATGGCCTTCTCTCCGCCAGGGCATACTTCAAAGTTCCTTAGAAAAGCCAAACTGAGGTTTATTTTCATAGCTCCATAGTTTATATGGTGAAAGCAGCCCGGCTTGGATGTGAGGATAACAACTTGCTGACGCAGAAAAACGAGCAAAATGTCACTAAAAACACGTCCGATTGTGGGGTTTAGAATAGTCCATGCCTGAAGAAAGGGATCTAGTTGAGTGGGTGGCGGTGGAGTCACTGTTAATTCCGGCTCTAGTAAGTGGCATAGTAGCCATCGTGAAGAAGCTCACGTAATAATGCTCACTTAAATAGGCAAAGCTAGCTCCACTGAAGGCCAGTTAATAACCGAAGAGCTTTTCCAAAGTTTGATTCCGCGGAAACGTGAATTCAGGGCCACCGTTGCTATAGAATTGTGAGGCGGAATGGCTTTCTTTTTGTCAAGAAGTAAAAAATAATACCATTATGCGAGTAAAAATGATGGAGCCATTAAAGAAGTAAGTATTCCCGGGAGAGAATGTGACAAAGTATATGTTAAATTTGTCTTTGTAATTAAATGCCTATAAAATATATGAGGATTCTTATGCGATATTCACATAATGGCCATGGATGTAGTGGGAAGAAGAACTAGTTCTGTTTGAGCTGTGGCTTTCCAGCTTAACAGCTTTAGGATCTTGGGCAAGCACCCCAACGTCAAGCCTCAGTTTCCCTGTCTGCAAAGATGAGATAATGAATGTAAGGACCCAACAGCATTTGGTACAGATAGACTTTTCACAGATAACCGGCTATTTGTAACTTGGGTAGGGATTGCCAGGAGTTAGCGAACTAGAACTATCCCCAAACAATTCTTTCTTGAACTTTTTAGTTTTATGCCCTTCAAACACATGAGAATAATCATCAGTAAGCCCAGTAACTTAGAAGGCATGAAGGCATGAAGCCTGACTTTTATCACTTGAAGGGTAGTGAATGGAAACTTTTCCTGTTTTCAGGACCGTCCGATATGTTCCAGAGGAATCCAAAGACAAAGTTATCTCAGATGAAGATGTCCTAGGAACATTACTGAAAGTTTTCCAGGCTCTGTTCATTAATGATTTCAATAAGCAATCAGATATCTTGACTATGCTTCCAGAAACCGTTAAATCAAAATATCATGACCTACTGTCAGTTCAACATCCAAGGGTGAAACTGCTTGAATACAGACATCAACAGCAAAATATCTTTAAACCAGAAGAAATTCTTTATAAGACACTGGGTTTCAGTGTTGCCCGAGCAACTAGCTCATTGATTTCTGCTGGAAAAGGTGTCTTCGTTACCAGAGGATTGGTACCAAAAGGCGCGGTTGTAGCTATGTATCCTGGTAATGACACAATTAGTGCTTTGCCAAGAGTTTCCTATTTATCAGTTAATATAAGTCCAACAAAATACTTACTCTTATAATCCTTTGAGTAAGGAGTTGAATTAGAAACTGAGATTTCCACACATTTGTAAATCCTGATTTCGAAAATAACTACAAATTATTTTATGTGCTAGAAAGCATCCTTGAGTATTTATTTGAATAAAAGCACTTTTCTTTTAAGAAAATTTTTGTAGTCAATGTTTAAATGTAGAATATAGTATGGCCTACTTTGATAAGATGAATTACTTAGAAAGCACTAGAGAATAAGTCAGTTGGCAGGTAAAAATAGTACGGGTTAAAACAGGTATGACAGTTTAAACCTGTAAATCAATAAATACCTTCCTGCCATTTCTACACTTTGAAAGTAAAGCAGCTTCTTTGCAAAAAGATCATTGACTAGAATGCTTAGTAGGGTATGTTATTTGTTAAACTAAGATTACATTATTTGTAAATGTTTAATTCAGACATGTTTTCAAAAAGACATTGTTTTCTAATTTTACATCCCTAAGCAAAAGAGTTGGTTTCCTCCTACACAACTAACCTCTGTAAAGGCTAAATAGAACAAGCTGGCAACAAATTAATACTAGAATAAATTTAATAGATTAGGATGCCAGTAACATAGGACACACTCAGTAAATACTAATTTTCTCCTTTCCTCTACTGCTAGCGAAAGGGGAAACAACCTGAATATCAGATTCATTTATTCCCATTTTGTCTATATTATTGAACTGGTTATTAACAAATACATTTCTTAAAAGACTTTCTTTTTTTTTTTTTTTTTTTTTTAGAGAGAGAGGGCGCAAGTCAGTGAGGGGCAGAGAGAAACCAAGCTCACCTGAAGCAGGGCTCGAGCTCACCTGAGGCAAAGCAGGGCTCGAGTTGACCGATGTGGAACTCGAACTCACTACTGTGAGATCATGACCTGGGCTGAAGCTCGATGCTTAACCACTGAGCCACCCAGGAACCCAAAAGACTTTTTAATGGATGTCAAAGAACACTCTACTTTAAAAATCAAAAACAAAACAAAACAAAAAGCCCCTATAATTTTGTAAAGCTGAATCTCAAATGTGGTGTTCACATTTTAATTAATCAAAATAGTCACATTTTATTTGGCTATGTGAACCAGTTGATTCTCTGCTCCATTTACTTTTGGACACTCTTTAAAGGGAAGAAGTAGCCAAAGAGAATGTGATAATCTAGACTGGAGTAAAATATTAGAAAAAGGTAGAGAAAATAAAATAGTTCATTTCACGTTATGTTTATTTTCCAGAGATAGGTGCTTATCATGATGTTATTATTTTTACATATTGCTATGTCCTTATCTTATAATAGGTACAGTATATCAGAAGTATGAGCCAATCTTTTTCCAATCCATTGGAAATCCATTTATTTTTAGATGCCTGGATGGGGTACTTATTGATGGAAATGACAAAGGAATATCAAAAGTCGTATACAGGTAAGTTAGTGCCCATGTTCAAACATAACGATAGGACACAGAGCCACAGGAAAATGACCATGACCCTGGTCTTTTCACTTTAAATAAAAATCTGTTTAGACAGCTGCTAAGTGGCAACTCAGCTGCCCTATTGACTAGACAAAACTTTTTTTTAATTTTTTTTTTATTTATTTTTGAGACAGAGAAGGACAGAGCATGAACGGGGGAGGGTCAGAGAGAGGGAGACACAGAATCTGAAGCAGGCTCCAGGCTCCAAGCTGTCTGTCAGCACAGAGCCCGACCCGGGGCTCGAACTCAGGGACTGTGAGATCATGACCTGAGCCGAAATTGGACGCTTAACTGACTGAACCACCCAGGCATCCCAGACTAGACAAAACTTTTTAAGAGAAATTGGATTTGTTCAGTTCTAGGATTAATTTTGTACTTTTGGATTTTACTGTAAGACATAAAAGAACAATCTCTTACCTAATGCTTTCACCTGTTTCAGATCTTGCAATGGGAGGGATCAACTTGGTCCTTTAAAAATGAGTGACAGTACATGGCTAACATCAGAAATTTGTAATCCACTTGCTGTAGGACAGTATGTCAACAATTGTTCAAATGGTAAGTTGACATTATGGGTCTGTGAGACAAGATATAAATATAGCAGTAGTAATTTTCCTCCTTTGCTATATGACTGAGTGCCAGAGGCAGTTAAATTTAACATCTCAGCTTTTCAAAGCCTGTAAATTGTAATGCTGAGAAGGCAGATAGTAAAGAAGTTGGGGAAATAATGATATACATTAATTGGAATTCTTTAATTTACTATTTTTCTTCTGGTTTTTCAGTAAATATAGGTAACTGATAAATGCTCCTTTGATCATTATTATTTTAGCATTTTTTAATAGTTAAAAAAAGAGAGCATTAGAGATCATTTTGTCAGAGCCTCAGTAGAACCTTGTAGGTTAAACTAGACTGGTATCCCCTTTCTGTTGCTACTTTTGTGAATCACTTACCTTCTCTAGGGCTTGACTTTCCTAAAAATATAAGTTTGATCTCGCCTACATTTAGCATAGGTTTTGGTGTTAGGGAGATATGAACTTGAAACCTGACTTTTCTACGTAACCTTCAATCTTTCTGGGTCTCTGTTTTCTGATCTTCAAAAAGTAAATAATAAAACATACATAATCTAGTAATGCCTGGAAGGTAATAGTGATTATTAATTTGAAAATGTTCTAATAATTTAGAAAACCATGCATCAAGTGTTAAAATTCAGTTCTGTTTTCCATGACCTTTTTTAAAACGGCTATTTCTAAAAATTATATACTTGTTCCTAGACAGAGCCGCTAATGTCTGTTACCAGGAATTTGATGTGCCTGCATTTTTTCCTATAGAGCTAAAACAGTATCTTCCAAACATTGCCTACAGCTGTGACAAACAAAGGTTAGTCTTTTCCTATCCCTTGTGTTCTGCTGTACTCAAAAAACATGTATATTCGAGGGTGCCTGGGTGGCTCAGTTGGTTGAGCATCTGGCTCTTGATCTCAGGTCAGGTCATGATCTTACGGTTTGTGGGTTCGAGCCCCACATAGGGCTCTGCACTGACAATGTGGACCTGCTTGGGATTCTCTCTCTCACCGCCCCCCACCCCTGCCTCTCTTGTGTGTCCTCTCTC